TAAAGGAGTCAATCAAAATGAGCAAAAATTAATTTACGAAACTATTCAGACAATGTCAACAAAGAATTTCAATTCTTATTCAACAATTTCCTTTGTCGTTGTTAACAACATTCAACAGAATTTCGTTAATAATCGTCGTTAACCATAGTCTAGTCTATACAAAATGGCAGACCGAAGGAATAATAAAAGAAAGAAAGTGTCGACAGATTCTGCAAATAAAAAAAGAGCAAAGACAAAGGAGGAGAATGAAGTAAACAAACAATCGCATGATGATGAAATTGCAGTACAACGTACAATTGAAGAAATGGCAGGAAGCAAAGAAATTGAGAATAAATTAGTCTTTGTATTCCTTCGATACGATGCAAATTCTACAGTTGAAGCGGAATCCACTTCAAAAAAGAATAAATATAGCAACAGGCCTATTGTGGACTATTTTGTAGGAAAGTCAAAGAGGGTCGGAACTTCTAAATCAAACGAAGTAGATAGAAACTCGGAATACACCTGCATTAACAAATTATTGGCCAAAGCTCACAAAAAGAGTTTGCAGCGTTTTTCTAAACGTGGTAAAACAAAACACAAGAATTAAGTTGTTATTTTTGGAATTCTTAGTCTAAAATTTCACGAAAGACCCGAGGAATAATTCATTTTACAACAGTTGAATGAGGATTTACAAAATTGTTATAAATAAAATGATTTTTTCTTTGCTGCGAGGTTTAATTACTGTTTACTAATAACTAAATTTAATTTGAATAATATAAATATGCTTTTTGTTAATCTATGAAAAAAAATTTTTGAAGCGCAGTGTACAAGCTTCCTTGGCAGTTACTCAAATTGACAAATCACCGAAACATATTGTGAGAAGTAATTTCTCGATTGTTTTCAACGAAATACAGTATTGCACGTGAATAGAATTGATAAAAGAGACAAAATTCTAGAATTCGACCTAGAATATCAACGGGAGATACCGAGAATGAAAAAATTTTGCATCGTAAAAGTGTAAACAAACGACATACAGTACATTACACGAAATTCGGAAAGCGGCTAATTTTTCTCCAATTCTTACTCTGAAAACCGATGTACTTTTTCCATTTCTTCTCGAAAAAATTACCGTTTATAAGGTAGGGCGGGTAAAATGGCATGTTTTTGGAATTTTTTTCTGTACGAGCAGTGATCATGAATGAGAAACTGAAGGATATTAAAGTGTAGTACGTACTTATTTTTTTAAAAAATGAATGATTACGTTAAATATATTAACAGTTCAAAAGACATTTTCCAACCAGGTAGGCAAAATGAGAATATTTTTCGGCCTCAGCATGTAAGACGATTTAATAGCTGTAACAGAAAATGCAACAATGCCACACGTTTAATGTTAAAGGCAGGGCTGTGGAGTCGGAGTCATGGAGTTTTGGTGTTTTAGCCGGAGTCGTCAAAAAATCCGCCGACTCCGACTCTTTTACTTACCAACTTGTTATGTATATAAAACGGAAAAGTATTGGAATCGTGTCAAATTTGACTCTCCAAGTTTTTTGTTTTTTTTGCAGATATACACGTTTGGAGACCTCCCGAACCTTTCAAAAAAGTCAATAAAAAAGAAAAAAATTCGCTTGCGTATGTGTTGGCGTGTAATTTGTTTAATTTCTTTATTTTCTGTTTTGAGATATTAAATACAATATCTCAGAATGGGTAATGTTTAAGAAACGAAATGTGGCACTGTAGCTCACGTATAAAGGAGCATTAATTAATACTATTAAATGTTGGTTCTTAATTAAAGGTCGACAGGGTAAAGACCTAAAAGTGGTCATGTGTCATATCTCTTAATGAATATTTTATTCGTTATTAGCACAAAATTCAAAATTAAAAGCCGTTCAAAATTTTAAGAAATAAAATAAAACTCGTCTCTACCCTCAAAGTAAGCTTTTTGCCATTTTATAATACTACAGTAAAACCCGTTCAGATGTTCTCATCTAAAACGTTAGAATGTATATGGGGACACGATTTAGTTCAACCACTTTGACGCTTAATAACTAACTCCTGTGTTAAACCATCCGACTCCGATTCTGACCACAGAAATTATTAGGCTTCAAACAGGGTGAACAAAATCGTGCCCCCCACGCACAGTCTAACATCCACACATATAGAAAAAAAAATCGAATCTTTTGCGTATCTCGAAATTTCAAAATGTCCCGAGTCCAAAAATTTAAAAATTTGGGAGGGGTCATTTTTGACCGAGCGCTACACTTTTCCTCTGTTATATATAACAGCCGGAAAAGTAAAAATTATCGAATACATAATTATATATTAGTTAGAGAAGTCTTTTAGCTTTGGAATAAAAAGTTCCTACGCTCTATCTTTATTAGAACTCTATTTATTGAATCTTTTATTCTGAAGTCACGCGATGACATCAGAATTTCAGGGTCTCTTTCGGTAACAAGTCCGCCCGTGGACAGAGTCGGAGTCGGTAGATTTTTATGCGACTCCACAGCCCTGGTTAAAGGTTCAAATTTGACTCTTAAGGAAAAGTTTGTATTTTGCTTCATTGCACATAAATGCTAGTATTTAAAAAAAATAAATAAATATAAATAGACTGGGAAAAGTCCATAAATATTTATTTCATTCTGAGTTAAAGATGAAGTCATCTTACAAATATTTGGATATTTGTTTTACCTCATAGGGCTCGTTTTCTGTTCACTTAAACAAGATATATTTGAAATTTACACTCGCTAATTTAATGAAACTTATGATTAGAATAAAGAAATCGTCTATTAAGTCACATTTTCGACTGTTTCATTCCTTAATACGTCTGAGTCTGGGTTTTCTGCTTCTTATTTAGAGTCAATCTTTTGAAAATCAAATTCAGATTCATTAGGTCGATTTTCTACGTTAATCGTTCGGTGACGAGCTGTGTTGAGATATGAATTGAAAGACCGATATAAGTTCAATTACGGCTATTTTTCGTTATCATCTAAAGAACTTAGAGTTACCAGAATCTAACCTTAAATGATTGATTTATAAAAAAGTAAAATTAATAAACAATAATAATAATTCTATAACTTGGGCTTTGTTACTTAAGCGCTTATTGTCCGATTTGGGATTTTTATCTGCTCTGTTTTCTGATAAAACACTTTCGTTGGTTGAACTTTACTTTTTGAAAAGTAAATATTGGGCTTTATATGGAGCAGAAGTGCGGCTTCTTGGAAATTACTCTTCCCCATAGACACTTCGTTGTCATCTATTATCAAATTTAAATTGGAAGATAAAATCCTTGATAATGCAATTAGAACATAATATAGCCTTTTCTTCTTTTAATGACCGCAAAATAAACATCACATCTTGCATTAATTGTTCTTTTTTAAATGTTCAATTCATTCATTCGAAAGATTTTTATTTGACATTGTAAATAATTTAAATCTCTTAAATAAATCCTGAAAATTCATTTTAAATTTACTAGATTTGCCACGTTATTGTTTCCACAACTACAATGTGTATAAAAACACCATTCGCTATATTTACACATGATTACGCAGTGCGCACACGAGAGGACTTCTCTTCGATATAACACAATTGAACCTGGTTTAATTTAAAAAGTTAATATACTAGAAAATAATACAAGAAATATAAATTTAGCAGCGTTAAGCTTACGAAGGTTAGAATGAAGAAAGAATAGTTTTGTCACTTGTATTTCATTCGACGTGAAAAAAGAGATGTTAAAAAGTTGCAAGTATATTAGTTGTATTTTCGATTATCTCTGATTGGACACAGGCAGTATGTATAAGGCAATATCTTTCTTTAAACTGCAGGGAGAATGGAGAAAAACGGATGAAAAATCTTGTACGTTTTGCGGATTTACTGTACATTCAACGGTTATTTTTGTCATCTGATTTTAATATTACTTCTTTACCTGATGATAATTTAAGTTCTGTAACGTTATTTAAACTTTAATGAATGACTAAATAATTTACAAATATGTTACAATTGATTTTCTAATTCTAAGCCATACATAATAGTGCCCAGAAGACCAGAAATATCAGTAATTATTATTATTTCTCAAGTTTATCCTACTTCTTATATAAAGGCTTTTATCAAATAATGTTAATTTGATTTGTTTTGTATTTTATATCTGAATATCCTCTTGATCTCAGTGTATTTTATTTCTATAAATTATATACTCTTTCTAATAAAGTCAATGCTTCGATGATTTATTAAACTTATTACATAAGCCATATGTAATAAGTTTAATATACTTTAAACATATATTATATTAATTCAAAACCATGTTTAAAAGTTATTAAAAGTTATTGTGCTCGTAAGTTTGTTCCTTCACGGAAGAAGTTGGTATTTCTGTGTGTAAACAAATAACTCACCCGGTTACACATTGTCAATATAATGAGTTCTGCCGATTTTCTTATTAACATAGTTTATCACGTAAGAAAACTAATTATTAAATTCTATTCAAAATTACTTTTATTAAAAATTACAGGTGTGAATTAGTTACAAACATCATAAGTGCTTATCTATTGTGAGTCACAGTAAATGAGTTACAAAAGAAAAAAAAAAAACAATTGGTTAAGACGAAACAATATATAAATACCTGTCCTTTTGATGGTCTGTTTAGTGACGTCACGTGCACTAATTTCAAATAAATTAGGAGGCGATTGCAGGAATGATTCCAAGCACCGCGGAAAAATAGTAATTCTGCCAAATATTGGGCTAATTATTCAAAGAAAACCTCAGAAAATCCGGAATATTTTACGTTAACTAAAATTAATTAAATTATATTAATCGCGATCAGATAATTGGTATTACAATAAAACACCGTAATTTCATACTCTGCAGTTTAAAACATTTTGCTTTCTCAAGACACGTATGTAGTTATTTATTCATTTATATTAAGAAAAGTGGATTATAACCGCCCATTGAAAAGTACTAAAACATTCAGTGTGGCCCTGGTGGAGATAAGATTAAAACTCCTGTGTAGAACAATACTCTCAATCAAAGACAGTTAAATGCCCAATTTTATTCAAAACTAGTTTAATGCAATACATTTATTCCCACCATACAAAAACCATTATATCAAATAGAGGGTCGATCTCAAGATCGATCTTTCGACGAAAATAGTCGACATCTCCTGCGACTGATATATATAAGGGTAAAACGTTAACAGCAACGTAGTTTATTAGAGGAAACACTTCCTTAATTGCTCGAATTTCTTTATCGGTGGACTGTACATACCCATTATTGAAAATATACAGGAAACATCTCTTCTGTACCATTCTGGGTTTAGAATATTTCAACCGTTCCAATTTCTTTTTTATTGTAGGAATAATTTCAGATACATCAATACGAAGAGCAAAAGCATTCACTCTCTCCCCATGAAATATTGTGAACATGTATGTATCGGTGTCGATCGGGTAATGAACCTTTTTGTCTATCATTTTCCTTAAGGCAAAATCTTCGTAGATGATGACACATTTTTTTCGTACGTGACGGATGTTTATTTTGCGGTATTCCTTCTTTATTTTCTTCATAAAATCTGTTAACTCATAAAATTCAGATCGGAATATAAAGCGGTCCAACGAATGATTAATAATATTAACACCTGGAATGTTTGGAAACATTGATATTTGTATTTTTGCTATTGATGACAACCTATAATCTCTAAAGAAACTGCATGTGCGATTTACTCCTGGAATTAAAAACGAGATTGTTATTAACAATTGTTTAATAATTTCAAACTTACATAGTACAGCTACTTACGATAGACTTTCTCCATAAAATTCAAATATTTATGATATGAAATAAAAGTATATGTAATTTCTCCGAATTTATTAAGATACGTAGACAGAGTTCTAGGTCCATATTCATGTTCATCTTCTAAAACGAACCAAATGTATTGAAAATGATCTTCGAACCCAACGTAGCGACGTAGTTTTTCCGAGTCGTTCACGTTAATTGCGTTTTTTATTACACTAAGAGGAATTCTCTGTTTAAATAAATCAGAATATTTACAGCAAATGTAAAATTTATTTAGATAATACAATTAATGAAAACTTATTTTACTGCAATAGAATAATTTAAAATGAATACATTTTTACACAAAGTTACAAGTTATTGTCTAAAAAGATTCTGCAGTTTGTTGAAGTAAGTTTTGAAATACAAATAAAATACACAATAAATATGTTTAATTGATAGGATTTCAATGAAAAAGTTATAAGTTTAAAGCTTTCCTCTTCAAAAAACAATGTTTAAAGTTAAAATTCTAACGAATAGGAAACTGAAAAGAATAGTCAATTATCGACGTTTCTCTAAACATTTTCAAAATGAAGATTATTATTATAATTTTAAACAACAAAAAAGCTGTCCTAGAAGTCATTGATGTATGGACACCAAAGAACAATTACCTGTACTCGTACATTCAGTCATTCTATGACAATTGTATAATACAAACAATAGAAATCTTAAGCATAGATTACTAGAAAGCATTCGACACTATCATGCATTTACGGTTCTTACAAAAATACAAAACGTTACAGAAATACAAAATTTTCTAACAGTTATTACACATCTGAAAAAAAAAAACAATGCAACAGTGGAAAATGACACATCATCTCACATTTCTTAAGTACGTTAAACAATTGAAGACGAGGTATTTTTCAGATAGACTGTTTAAATTCATTTTGGTTTTGTGCTCTTAAAAGCTCATTAGGCAAATAATAATAATAACACAAAATATGAATTTATAGCAAACCTTTTTAAAAACACCACAAAGCAATATAATATATATAGCCTATATATTGTACGTCATTTGCGTTAAATACATAAAATCCAACATCCTCACAAGGACAATCTAAATAGCGTAGTTAAACTTACACACCGTTATACCCCGTTCGCACCGAGTATGTCAATCTAGATTGTGACCAAGGTCGGCGACTATCCCTTGGTGCGACCTCTCTCGACCGTTTCAATCTCGACTGAAACGAGGTTCAATAGCGATCGACTGGAGAGAGTTCTCGAAACTAGATCCAGTCATAAGAAAGATCCCACAATCCTACGCGCGCGAGAAAATGCAAGATGGCTGCGGAACACGTGTCGGGCTATCGACAGAGAAATAAAAAAGACATCTGGAGAGACGATGACATCTGTGTATTATTAGATGTACGGCAAGAAAAAGTATTTATTTCTAACCAAAACGTCCATTTTGTTTGTTGGTGTTCGTGACTAATCGCGTAGTTACATCAGTTTTATCATTGCGTGTAATAGCCGGGTTCTACTTGAGTGGACTGCCTGTGCGAACAGCTTGACGTTCGTCTGGTGACAGTTACAATCCAAATTGTAGGTAAATCGAGATCGAAGGGAGTCGTGGATTGTGTGTGAACGTAGTATTACCTATTGACGAAATTGACAAATGAAAAAAAACACCTCACGTAGAGAAACGAACTCCAAGGAAAAACACAGCACTAAATCCATCAATGACTGAGTAATCTACAAATGTTTAGATTCAAAAAGAGAAAACACAGTTTCACACACAAATCATGCAAACTAACAATCAAAAAGCCATTTCAGTAATTAAAATTTTCTAAACCGAATTCCGTAACTTAGAAATTCGAAAATTCAGGATTATTTTAAACCGGCAAGAGAAATCGAAAAACAAGGTATTGACGATTCACAATATACATTAAGATCTATATATGAATTAATTCAGTAAAAATTTTGCCAGTTAAACTTAGAAATTCAATCAATAAAAGCTGAAGTTAATAAGATAAAAGAAGAAAATAANGCTGTAGACACAGGCTTGAAAGTAACACTGTTGTCAAAGGTCCCTAGTGCAGAAAATAGGCAAACTTCATAGAACATACGATAGAAAAGAGAGATTATTTTGAAGAGTCATCAGACAAAATCTATCCATATGGAAGAAGCAAATTTTGATTCAAAATAGGCCCTCTACAATTTCTTTACATATGTTACATCATTGATGATCACATCACGTATCCATTTGACAGATTACTAGGAAGAGCTATAATTACTGACCTAAGGTTAGGAATAAATATGGCAGACAGAACAATAACACTTTCTGATGGAAGAGGAATAAGCTTCCAAGAGCCCTCCAAGACAAGGGAGAAAGCCAAACAAGCATGAGCAAGGAGGATCCTAACCAACAGGGAAAATGTTGTCAGAGTTGTCCGACCATGGGAAAGAACCCAAGAAATAGTAGGAGGAGAGAAAATTAAAGATAAACCTCAAGAAAGAGAGAAGAAACAGATTCAATTACAGAATCTGCCAGATTCTAATAAAATTCACTCTTAAAAAGATGAAGAGAAGGGTCAACAAATGATCCAATCCACGGAAGAGAAGGATAACAAACCAATTTCATTTTTCCCAACGGGAAGGGGACGAAACTTAAAAACAAGGAGCCATTCAGAACTGAAGTAAATCCTATATCAACTCAAGCAGAAGTAAGAAACGAGGAAAAACAAGGTCAATCAGATGCAATTTGAAAACAAGAAAAACAACCAAAGCCCGATCAAATTCTAAGCTTTAAAATATTACTCAAAGCCATAATAGTCCTCTTCACTATGATGCTGATGTTTTTAGGCATCCCATTTTTGCCTGTAGTCATTTTCTCGAAGATCAACCCCCTTCACAAGGTCAAGGAACTCTAGACACAACATCAACTACAATGCTACATCCACTGAAAGCTGCTTACCCATTAGAAAATCATCTCTCACATGCACAAATAAAGTCAGATGGAAAACAAATCAGACAAAAAATGATCGCAACAATTAGCAGAATTAATTAGGGAGCCCAACAGATAGCATTTTGTTAATGTTACATAGCTCATCAAAAGATAGCGATGATTTTTTTCTTTTATTGTCACACCGACTGCGAGGAGCAAACTGAAAATTGAACTTGCTCTTTTGGGACCAAGCATGATTTTGGAAAGGCCAGTGTGATGTGAGAGCTCAGACTCAACAAAAAAATTTTTCAAAAGAAAAAAAATCTTAAAGGATATGATTATAACTTTTCCCACATACTTGCTTCCTTATTTAAGGTGACAAGTCAAATGTGTCACCAGGAACTTAACAACAAAATTGGTATTGGATGTGGAGATTTACTTTACAAAAAAAGAGTAATGGAAGAAAAGAGGGAAAATCCCCAAATAAAAGGCAATGTCTGATATTGACACCAGGAGTTTGTCCGACAGAAGAGTCTGTCCATCCTTGAAGGTTGGTCATGTGTGCACTAGGATACACTTTGCTGTGGATACTCTGCCAATAGCCAGTAATCAGAAGCTTAACCACTGATAATCGATGACCTCACATACCCATCAAGGACTATAGTATCATCTTCTCTGAAAAAAGGCCCAAATCAAGAGAGCGATCTTCAGGTAAATACTTTGCACCAATGTTTGTCTCTCTTTCTCTCTCGCTTAAAGCTTATGTGTAAATAGTTTATATAATCAATAAATGGGTATTATTTTTTATAATAAAGTTGTAAAGTGCATTTCTTTTGCCCAATTTGTCTCCATCCCAAGTCCAAGTGTCTACACACTCTACGGCTCATGCAAAAAGGTTTGTCTGTCCAAAAGACTGGTATCAGACTGACAACTTTGTCATCACAAACGCAGTGTTGACCCTTCGGTCAAATGGTGCTGAAGCATAGGGACGCTTTGAGCATTGTCACAAAAGAGAAGTAAAAACACAGCAAGTAATTGAAAACACAACAAAAGTATTAAGTATTTCAATGTTTATGATTTGTATTAACATATTAAGCACCACAGTAGTGGGACATAAATTATTACATTGGGCCATGATCCTTTTTATTAACGAAATTAACACAAATATGATGGCTATTTAATATAATTTTTATGCATTGTTAAAAAACATTTTTCTCAATTTTTAGGCATGTGTTGCCTGAATGATTTTTTCCCCCCTCCCTAATTACATTATGCCATCTTGTATGCTCATCAGCTTTTGAACTCAACAAAACTAACACATTCAAGATTGCATAATTGTATTGATAGAAAGCCAAGAGAAATAGAGTAATCACTGAAATAATACATTCACTGTTTTTTACTGTTTATATTCATTGAGAGAAAATTAAGATTGTTTCTTGAATATTTGTTTTTGTGCTTTGTTTTTATGATATTGTACTTATTCATATTCATTGTGCAAGAAAAACATTAGAAAAGGCAAATTTTGCTCATTTTTCTTTTTATTGGGAGAAAATAAATTCCTATTAATAGTCTATTATAAAAATTAGTGGGTTAAGTGCAATTTTTATTTTATAGGCCATGCTTTAACTATATCCATTATGTTTATATGGGTAGCATGTTGATCCAAAGTTACACTTCTCAGATTTAAATGTAGAGCAATTCAACCATGCCATATGTTGCTTATTTGCAATACATGGCACTTAATGTGTTAAACAACTTTTCCATTGGCTGATTTCATTTCAAATGGATTAAGCTGATTTTAACTGATTTCATGTTTAATTAATTTAAAGAGTTTATGTATATACAGTAGAGCATCATTTATCCGAAAGTCGGTTATCCGAAAGCATTCCAGTCGGCAAATTTAAATTTTCACTAGTGCTGTGGCACTGCAATCTTTGGCTATATCTTGGGCTACTCCAATATTTTTTTTGTTGGTGTGTGTGTGTTAGCTGGCAGCACTTGCACTTTTGTGTGGTGTTTTTCTGAGGACTGTGTGTCGTGCTGAATCAAACGTTTTTGATACTAGATCAACTTCTAAAGTGTATTTTTTTTGGTTTTTATATTTTTCAAAATATTTATTTTGTTTGTACAAAATAAAAAAATAATTTTTAACGATACAGTAGCCACGGTTATTATTTTAGAAAGTTTATGTTAGGCTTAACATCGACGAAAATTTAACGCGAAGTGACACGCAACGGAGAAAAATTTCAACATGGGATAGGTTAATATATTTTTTCATACATAATTGGTTATCCGAAAAATAAGTTATCCAAACAACCCCAGTCCCCAATTGATTCGGATAAACGACGCTCTACTGTATATTATGATTTTACCCATTGCCAATGGAAAATTTTTTTACATAATGAGGCCAGATTCAGATTATTTTTATTAGACAATATACCTTGCGACACCGGGAAATACATTCCCGGTGTCGCTATAGCATAACCGGGTATAAACAAAATATTTATAATATATTACACAGATGAAATACATCTTTTCAATTGAAATTAATATAACAAATAATAATTAAACGCATGTACAGATAATATATATAAATATTACACGCGTACATATGAATAAATAACAAGAAAGAACAAAAAAAAACCAAAACTCAAAAAAAATCGAAAACAAAACCGCAAATACAAATAATACGCACGTACAAACACTATGTGCATAATCGTGTGCTTGAAAATTATAAATCTAATATCCACATGAGCACATTAAATGCTATCAAGTACAGTCAGTTTCACGAAAAAGAATTCATGTAAAAATACAATATAATACCCGCGTGAACATATTAAATGCTATCTAGTACAATCACTTTCACGTCAAAGATTCATAGAAAATACAAATCACCCACGAGTTGAATTACCTGAGTAGAGATAAAGGCCAAGAAAACACGAGTGTAGTATGCAGTCCGTTTAATAGTTCAGATTCACTGCTGCAACTCTCTCGTTAGTTTCCAGCAAAAGATGAACAAGCAGGTCTTAGAAAGCACACAAGTAACACCTGTAATTCGTGTAGGATAGTTCACCAATATAATATATACAATTGATATGAATACAAACAAGATTATTCAAATGGATTGTTCTTTTAGAAATAGACGACTAAAAAAGAACAGGACTGACAAGAGAATCATACCGAATTAAGTGTATATTCCTCTAATAAGAAAACAGTAATTGAAAAAAAATTGTAATAAAAGCTTAGTAAAACTGGAAAATAGTAAAGTAAAAGTAAAGGAAAAATGTTACTAATGTAATGGTAGTAAAAATATGAGAGAGACTAACAAAGATAAAAAAAAAAAAAATTCTGTCCAATAGGGTTTTAGTGAATATAGGGTCTTTGCGAGAAAATTATAAAGTCTTACTAAAAAAATTCATAGACCCTAACATTATAATTGGTTCTACGGAACCTGTATGATAATTTAAAGTGACAGTCAAAGTTAGATAAACACTTGATCATAGTATTTAGTAAAGCAAAAAATCAAGAAACAAAAATAAATTAATCTACAATGTTGAAGTAGCTATCATAAATATAAATTTAATAACGAAAATAAGATCTATGTAATGTAAAAACATTGAGATATTGTATACGGAATAATGAATAAATTTGAAGTGTTTTTAAAACGGGTAAAAAGGTACATACTGAATGTGATGTATACGTTAAAATATAATTAGATGTAGAAATAAATCTGTGTAGATAATCAAGAAATTGTGAAATCCAACCACCCTGATTGTAACAGACGGAAGGCGAATGCTCATCGAAAAGTTAATTTATGTAAAGTTCTAATAATTGTATAAACATCCCCCTTGTAACAGGCTATTGCCTATTACGTTAAGAAACATTCTACTCTATTCTATTCTAACTTAGAAATGATTTATGTTAATCGATTTTGGAATTTTGAGCGTTTGTAGCATTTATATAATCATAGGATTAAATCAACAAAATAATGCTATGATAATTACCCTTGTAAACGTTGTTACTCGGCGATGCATTATGTTGTCAATGATATCTTTCCATAGAGTACACACTCGGCTACATAAATCTAATTCTGCACCTTTTAAGTATTCAAATATGTTAATCATAATTGTTTCTGGCAACTCTGTGATTAAAGTGCAGCCACTTGACGATATTGCGTCTATTTCCGTTGTTGTTTCAAGGGTAATTTCTGCCATTTTGGAAATTCTCTGTAAAGATAAGAATAATTTATTAACTGGTAAATCTTTGCATTGCTGAAAATTTAACAATTCTGGCTGATTTGAATCAACCAACTGGATACGGAAAAAATACTCATTCTTTGATAGACTTTGGTCTAACAAACGATAGCGCGTGTGAATTTTTAATACATCAAAATTTGATATCTGACCATCTACCTGTGAGGAACGAACAGACCAACAATAAAGTGTTATTTTAAATTTTAATTATTGGGAAATTCAATCATCTAAATTCTAGCGTTTTATCAAGTTAGGCTAAAAGCCATAAAGATTATTTCCCACGGAGTTGGTTCCTTGTTGAGGAGGATCCAGCTAGTCAGTAATGTGTCACCCGGAACTTTCGATAGAGTGCCCATATTGGACGCCAGACCCTTAACAACAACCACCTGATCTCATGGAAAAAACCCCAAGAGGAATAACAAGAGAAAACGGAAAAAACACCCGAGGTCAGTCGTCTTCCAAAGTCGTCCTCAAGGATTAGCACCGTGACCACGACTCCTGCATTAAAGCCGTGACAAAGATCGTGCCTCTTTAAGGATATCATCCCCACTTTCGTGCCTCCACACCTCCGTGCTCCTGTTAACGGACGAGACCCAGAACCATTTAGATATCGGTGGTGTCATCTTACAACAGATCTTCGACCCAGAAGAAAGGTATTTATCAACCCGCGATTCGTTGGTAAACTCTCTCTCTCGAACGGCCTAGTATAATTAGAGGACTATGACAAAAATCGAATATATTTGTATTTTCTTTGATTATTATTAAAATTGTTATTTTTAGTTAATATGGAATCCGAGTGAGTCACTTCCTCGTCACTCTCCTCACCTCTACTCCAAATCTATTCGCTCGCGTGACGTAAAGTCGCGATTTCCGAGTCCTGAGAGACTCGGTGGTGTCACATCCTGACGTGGTGTCGACAAGACACCGACCCTACGGTCACAGCACTAGATCCATCATCCAGACACAGCACTGAATCCATCAAAGACTGAGAAATCTACAAATGTTTAGATTCAAAAAGAGAAAACACAGTTTCACACACAAATCATGCAAACTAACAATCAAAAAGCCATTTCAGTAATTAAAATTTTCTAAACCGAATTCCGTAACTTAGAAATGATTTATGTTAGTCGATTTTGGAATTTTGAGCGTTTGTAGCATTTATATAATCATAGGATAAAATCAACAAAATAATGTTATAACAATACCCTTGTAAACGTTGTTACTCGGCGATGCATTATGTTGTCGATGATATCTCTCCATAGAGTACACACTCGGCTGCATAAATCTAATTCTGCACCTTTTAAGTATTCAAATATATTAATCATAATTGTTTCTGGCAACTCTGTGATTAAAGTGCAGCCACTTGACGATATTGCGTCTATTTCCGTTGTTGTTTCAAGGGTGATTTCTGCCATTTTGGAAATTCTCTGTAAAGATAAGAATAATTTATTAACTGGTAAATCTTTGCTTTGCTGAAAATTTAACAATTCTGGCTGATTTGAATCAACCAATTAGATATGGAAAAAATGCAGATTAGATCCAGATTATTTTTATTAAATAATATACCTTGCGGTATATTCCTGGTGCCGCTATAGCATAACCGGGTATATACAAAATATTTACAATATATTACATAGATGAAATACATCTTTTTAATTGAAATGAATATAACAAATAATTAAATGCGTGTACAAATAATATATATAAATATTACACGCGTACATATAAATAAATAACAAGAACAAAAAAAAAACAAAACAAAACCGCAAGTACAAATAATACGCACGTACAAACATTATGTGCGTAATCGTGTGCTTGAAGATTATAAATCTAATATACGCATGAGCACATCAAATGCTATCAGGTACAGTCAATTTCATGGTGTAGATAATCAAAAAATTGTGAAATCCAACCACCCTGATTGTAACAGACGGAAGGCGAATGCTCATCGAAAAGTTAATTTATGTAAAGTTCTAATAATTGTATAAACATCCCCCTTGTAACAGGCTATTGCCTATTACGTTAAGAAACATTCTACTCTATTCTATTCTAACTTAGAAATGATTTATGTTAATCGATTTTGGAATTTTGAGCGTTTGTAGCATTTATATAATCATAGGATTAAATCAACAAAATAATGCTATGATAATTACCCTTGTAAACGTTGTTACTCGGCGATGCATTATGTTGTCAATGATATCTTTCCATAGAGTACACACTCGGCTACATAAATCTAATTCTGCACCTTTTAAGTATTCAAATATGTTAATCATAATTGTTTCTGGCAACTCTGTGATTAAAGTGCAGCCACTTGACGATATTGCGTCTATTTCCGTTGTTGTTTCAAGGGTAATTTCTGCCATTTTGGAAATTCTCTGTAAAGATANATTACAGGTGTGAATTAGTTACAAACATCATAAGTGCTTATCTATTGTGAGTCACAGTAAATGAGTTACAAAAGAAAAAAAAAAAACAATTGGTTAAGACGAAACAATATATAAATACCTGTCCTTTTGATGGTCTGTTTAGTGACGTCACGTGCACTAATTTCAAATAAATTAGGAGGCGATTGCAGGAATGATTCCAAGCACCGCGGAAAAATAGCAATTCTGCCAAATATTGGGCTAATTATTCAAAGAAAACCTCAGAAAATCCGGAATATTTTACGTTAACTAAAATTAATTAAATTATATTAATCGCGATCAGATAATTGGTATTACAATAAAACACCGTAATTTCATACTCTGCAGTTTAAAACATTTTGCTTTCTCAAGACACGTATGTAGTTATTTATTCATTTATATTAAGAAAAGTGGATTATAACCGCCCATTGAAAAGTACTAAAACATTCAGTGTGGCCCTGGTGGAGATAAGATTAAAACTCCTGTGTAGAACAATACTCTCAATCAAAGACAGTTAAATGCCCAATTTTATTCAAAACTAGTTTAATGCAATACATTTATTCCCACCATACAAAAACCATTATATCAAATAGAGGGTCGATCTCAAGATCGATCTTTCGACGAAAATAGTCGACATCTCCTGCGACTGATATATATAAGGGTAAAACGTTAACAGCAACGTAGTTTATTAGAGGAAACACTTCCTTAATTGCTCGAATTTCTTTATCGGTGGACTGTACATACCCATTATTGAAAATATACAGGAAACATCTCTTCTGTACCATTCTGGGTTTAGAATATTTCAACCGTTCCAATTTCTTTTTTATTGTAGGAATAATTTCAGATACATCAATACGAAGAGCAAAAGCATTCACTCTCTCCCCATGAAATATTGTGAACATGTATGTATCGGTGTCGATCGGGTAATGAACCTTTTTGTCTATCATTTTCCTTAAGGCAAAATCTTCGTAGATGATGACACATTTTTTTCGTACGTGACGGATGTTTATTTTGCGGTATTCCTTCTTTATTTTCTTCATAAAATCTGTTAACTCATAAAATTCAGATCGGAATATAAAGCGGTCCAACGAATGATTAATAATATTAACACCTGGAATGTTTGGAAACATTGATATTTGTATTTTTGCTATTGATGACAACCTATAATCTCTAAAGAAACTGCATGTGCGATTTACTCCTGGAATTAAAAACGAGATTGTTATTAACAATTGTTTAATAATTTCAAACTTACATAGTACAGCTACTTACGATAGACTTTCTCCATAAAATTCAAATATTTATGATATGAAATAAAAGTATATGTAATTTCTCCGAATTTATTAAGATACGTAGACAGAGTTCTAGGTCCATATTCATGTTCATCTTCTAAAACGAACCAAATGTATTGAAAATGATCTTCGAACCCAACGTAGCGACGTAGTTTTTCCGAGTCGTTCACGTTAATTGCGTTTTTTATTACACTAAGAGGAATTCTCTGTTTAAATAAATCAGAATATTTACAGCAAATGTAAAATTTATTTAGATAATACAATTAATGAAAACTTATTTTACTGCAATAGAATAATTTAAAATGAATACATTTTTACACAAAGTTACAAGTTATTGTCTAAAAAGATTCTGCAGTTTGTTGAAGTAAGTTTTGAAATACAAATAAAATACACAATAAATATGTTTAATTGATAGGATTTCAATGAAAAAGTTATAAGTTTAAAGCTTTCCTCTTCAAAAAACAATGTTTAAAGTTAAAATTCTAACGAATAGGAAACTGAAAAGAATAGTCAATTATCGACGTTTCTCTAAACATTTTCAAAATGAAGATTATTATTATAATTTTAAACAACAAAAAAGCTGTCCTAGAAGTCATTGATGTATGGACACCAAAGAACAATTACCTGTACTCGTACATTCAGTCATTCTATGACAATTGTATAATACAAACAATAGAAATCTTAAGCATAGATTACTAGAAAGCATTCGACACTATCATGCATTTACGGTTCTTACAAAAATACAAAACGTTACAGAAATACAAAATATTCTAACAGTTATTACACATCTGAAAAAAAAAAACAATGCAACAGTGGAAAATGACACATCATCTCACATTTCTTAAGTACGTTAAACAATTGAAGACGAGGTATTTTTCAGATAGACTGTTTAAATTCATTTTGGTTTTGTGCTCTTAAAAGCTCATTAGGCAAATAATAATAATAACACAAAATATGAATTTATAGCAAACCTTTTTAAAAACACCACAAAGCAATATAATATATATAGCCTATATATTGTACGTCATTTGCGTTAAATACATAAAACCCAACATCCTCACAAGGACAATCTAAATAGCGTAGTTAAACTTACACACCGTTATACCCCGTTCGCACCGAGTATGTCAATCTAGATTGTGACCAAGGTCGGCGACTATCCCTTGGTGCGACCTCTCTCGACCGTTTCAATCTCGACTGAAACGAGGTTCAATAGCGATCGACTGGAGAGAGTTCTCGAAACTAGATCCAGTCATAAGAAAGATCCCACAATCCCACGCGCGCGAGAAAATGCAAGATGGCTGCGGAACACGTGTCGGGCTATCGACAGAGAAATAAAAAAGACATCTGGAGAGACGATGACATCTGTGTATTATTAGATGTACGGCAAGAAAAAGTATTTATTTCTAACCAAAACGTCCATTTTGTTTGTTGGTGTTCGTGACTAATCGCGTAGTTACATCAGTTTTATCATTGCGTGTAATAGCCGGGTTCTACTTGAGTGGACTGCCTGTGCGAACAGCTTGACGTTCGTCTGGTGACAGTTACAATTCAAATTGTAGGTAAATCGAGATCGAAGGGAGTCGTGGATTGTGTGTGAACGTAGTATTACCTATTGACAAAATTGACAAATGAAAAAAAAAACACCTCACGTAGAGAAACGAACTCCAAGGAAAGACACAGCACTGAATCACATGAATGACTGAGTAATCTACAAATGTTTAGATTCAAAAAGAGAAAACACAGTTTCACACACAAATCATGCAAACTAACAATCAAAAAGCCATTTCAGTAATTAAAATTTTCTAAACCGAATTCCGTAACTTAGAAATTCGAAAATTCAGGATTATTTTAAACCGGCAAGAGAAATCGAAAAACAAGGTATTGACGATTCACAATATACATTAAGATCTATATATGAATTAATTCAGTAAAAATTTTGCCAGTTAAACTTAGAAATTCAATCAATAAAAGCTGAAGTTAATAAGATAAAAGAAGAAAATAATAGTTATAAAGAAGAGATGAAGATAATTGGTTACAAGATACAAAAATTAGAAGAAAATTATAAAAATAACGAAAAGATAAAAGGTATGTTGGAATTCGAATTTGATAAATTGGTAAATGAGACTATAAATAAGAATATAATAATTTTTAATTTTCCGGTTAAAACATGGAACGTTGATCAAGAAATCAAACAATTTATTAACGAAGAATTAGGTCTAAAAAATATAGAAATTGAAGGACTAGTTCAACTTAAAAATAGTAAGAATAACCTAATAATAAAAGTAATTCTGGAATCTGTAAAAGATAGAAATTTAGTTCTCAAAAGATTTTGGACTTTGAAACCAAAAATTGTTAATGAAACCGAGAAAAAAATAATAATTACAACGGATTTGTGTATTAGATCAAGAATTAGAAGAAAAAAACTACAGGATCAAATTAAAGTGGAAAAAACTACTAAAAATAAAATATTAATAAGAGATGATTACTATATTAAGGATAATATAATATATACAATTGATATGAATACAAACAAGATTCTTCAAATGGATTGTTCTCTTAGAAATACACAGACGATTAAAAAGAACAGGACTGACAAGAGAATCATACCGAATTAAGTTTATATTCCTCTAATAAGAAAACAGTAATTGAAAACAATTGTAATAAAAGCTTAGTAAAACTGGAAAATAGTAAAGTAAAAGTAAAGGAAAAAATGTTAGTAATGTAATGGTAGTAAAAATATGAGAGAGTCTAACAAAAAAAAAAAAAATCTGTCCAATAGGGTTTTGGAAAAATATATATAGGGTCTTTGCGAAAAAATTATAAAGTCTTACTAAAGAAATTTATAGACCCTAACATAATAATTGGTTCTACGGTAACCTGTATGATAATTTGAAGTGACAGTCAAAGTTAATAATTAATAAACACTTGATCATAGTATTTAGTAAAGCAAAAAATGAAGAAATAAGAATAAATTAATCTACTATGTTAAAGTAGCTATCATAAATATAAATTTAATAACGAAAATAAGATCTATGTAATGTAAAAACATTGAGATATTGTATACGGAATAATGAATAAATTTGAAGTGTATTTAAAACGGGTAAAAAGGTACATACTGAATGTGATGTATACGTTAAAATATAATTAGATGTAGAAATAAATCTGTGTAGATAATCAAAAAATTGTGAAATCCAACCACCCTGATTGTAACAGACGGAAGGCGAATGCTCATCGAAAAGTTAATTTATGTAAAGTTCTAATAATTGTATAAACATCCCCCTTGTAACAGGCTATTGCCTATTACGTTAAGAAACATTCTACTCTATTCTATTCTAACTTAGAAATGATTTATGTTAATCGATTTTGGAATTTTGAGCGTTTGTAGCATTTATATAATCATAGGATTAAATCAACAAAATAATGCTATGATAATTACCCTTGTAAACGTTGTTACTCGGCGATGCATTATGTTGTCAATGATATCTTTCCATAGAGTACACACTCGGCTACATAAATCTAATTCTGCACCTTTTAAGTATTCAAATATGTTAATCATAATTGTTTCTGGCAACTCTGTGATTAAAGTGCAGCCACTTGACGATATTGCGTCTATTTCCGTTGTTGTTTCAAGGGTAATTTCTGCCATTTTGGAAATTCTCTGTAAAGATAAGAATAATTTATTAACTGGTAAATCTTTGCATTGCTGAAAATTTAACAATTCTGGCTGATTTGAATCAACCAACTGGATACGGAAAAAATACTCATTCTTTGATAGACTTTGGTCTAACAAACGATAGCGCGTGTGAATTTTTAATACATCAAAATTTGATATCTGACCATCTACCTGTGAGGAACGAACAGACCAACAATAAAGTGTTATTTTAAATTTTAATTATTGGGAAATTCAATCATCTAAATTCTAGCGTTTTATCAAGTTAGGCTAAAAGCCATAAAGATTATTTCCCACGGAGTTGGTTCCTTGTTGAGGAGGATCCAGCTAGTCAGTAATGTGTCACCCGGAACTTTCGATAGAGTGCCCATATTGGACGCCAGACCCTTAACAACAACCACCTGATCTCATGGAAAAAACCCCAAGAGGAATAACAAGAGAAAACGGAAAAAACACCCGAGGTCAGTCGTCTTCCAAAGTCGTCCTCAAGGATTAGCACCGTGACCACGACTCCTGCATTAAAGCCGTGACAAAGATCGTGCCTCTTTAAGGATATCATCCCCACTTTCGTGCCTCCACACCTCCGTGCTCCTGTTAACGGACGAGACCCAGAACCATTTAGATATCGGTGGTGTCATCTTACAACAGATCTTCGACCCAGAAGAAAGGTATTTATCAACCCGCGATTCGTTGGTAAACTCTCTCTCTCGAACGGCCTAGTATAATTAGAGGACTATGACAAAAATCGAATATATTTGTATTTTCTTTGATTATTATTAAAATTGTTATTTTTAGTTAATATGGAATCCGAGTGAGTCACTTCCTCGTCACTCTCCTCACCTCTACTCCAAATCTATTCGCTCGCGTGACGTAAAGTCGCGATTTCCGAGTCCTGAGAGACTCGGTGGTGTCACATCCTGACGTGGTGTCGACAAGACACCGACCCTACGGTCACAGCACTAGATCCATCATCCAGACACAGCACTGAATCCATCAAAGACTGAGAAATCTACAAATGTTTAGATTCAAAAAGAGAAAACACAGTTTCACACACAAATCATGCAAACTAACAATCAAAAAGCCATTTCAGTAATTAAAATTTTCTAAACCGAATTCCGTAACTTAGAAATTCGAAAATTCAGGATTATTTTAAACCGGCAAGAGAAATCGAAAAACAAGGTATTGACGATTCACAATATACATTAAGATCTATATATGAATTAATTCAGTAAAAATTTTGCCAGTTAAACTTAGAAATTCAATCAATAAAAGCTGAAGTTAATAAGATAAAAGAAGAAAATAATAGTTATAAAGAAGAAATGAAGATAATTGGTTACAAGATACAAAAATTAGAAGAAAATTATAAAAATAACGAAAAGATAAAAGGTGTGTTAGAATTCGAATTTGATAAATTGGTAAATGAGACTACAAATAAGAATATAATAATTTTTAATTTTCCGGTTAAAACATGGAACGTTGTTCAAGAAATCAAACAATTTATTAACGAAGAATTAGGTCTAAAAAATATAGAAATTGAAGGACTAGTTCAACTTAAAAATAGTAAGAATAACCTAATAATAAAAGTAATTCTGGAATCTGTAAAAGATAGAAATTTAGTTCTCAAAAGATTTTGGACTTTGAAACCAAAAATTGTTAATGAAACCGAGAAAAAAATAATAATTACAACGGATTTGTGTATTAGATCAAGAATTAGAAGAAAAAAACTACAGGATCAAATTAAAGTGGAAAAAACTACTAAAAATAAAATATTAATAAGAGATGATTACTATATTAAGGATAATATAATATATACAATTGATATGAATACAAANATGTTTAATTGATAGGATTTCAATGAAAAAGTTATAAGTTTAAAGCTTTCCTCTTCAAAAAACAATGTTTAAAGTTAAAATTCTAACGAATAGGAAACTGAAAAGAATAGTCAATTATCGACGTTTCTCTAAACATTTTCAAAATGAAGATTATTATTATAATTTTAAACAACAAAAAAGCTGTCCTAGAAGTCATTGATGTATGGACACCAAAGAACAATTACCTGTACTCGTACATTCAGTCATTCTATGACAATTGTATAATACAAACAATAGAAATCTTAAGCATAGATTACTAGAAAGCATTCGACACTATCATGCATTTACGGTTTTTACAAAAATACAAAACGTTACAGAAATACAAAATATTCTAACAGTTATTACACATCTGAAAAAAAAAACAATGCAACAGTGGAAAATGACACATCATCTCACATTTCTTAAGTACGTTAAACAATTGAAGACGAGGTATTTTTCAGATAGACTGTTTAAATTCATTTTGGTTTTGTGCTCTTAAAAGCTCATTAGGCAAATAATAATAATAACACAAAATATGAATTTATAGCAAACCTTTTTAAAAACACCACAAAGCAATATAATATATATAGCCTATATATTGTACGTCATTTGCGTTAAATACATAAAATCCAACATCCTCACAAGGACAATCTAAATAGCGTAGTTAAACTTACACACCGTTATACCCCGTTCGCACCGAGTATGTCAATCTAGATTGTGACCAAGGTCGGCGACTATCCCTTGGTGCGACCTCTCTCGACCGTTTCAATCTCGACTGAAACGAGGTTCAATAGCGATCGACTGGAGAGAGTTCTCGAAACTAGATCCAGTCATAAGAAAGATCCCACAATCCTACGCGCGCGAGAAAATGCAAGATGGCTGCGGAACACGTGTCGGGCTATCGACAGAGAAATAAAAAAGACATCTGGAGAGACGATGACATCTGTGTATTATTAGATGTACGGCAAGAAAAAGTATTTATTTCTAACCAAAACGTCCATTTTGTTTGTTGGTGTTCGTGACTAATCGCGTAGTTACATCAGTTTTATCATTGCGTGTAATAGCCGGGTTCTACTTGAGTGGACTGCCTGTGCGAACAGCTTGACGTTCGTCTGGTGACAGTTACAATCCAAATTGTAGGTAAATCGAGATCGAAGGGAGTCGTGGATTGTGTGTGAACGTAGTATTACCTATTGACAAAATTGACAAATGAAAAAAAAAACACCTCACGTAGAGAAACGAACTCCAAGGAAAGACACAGCACTGAATCACATGAATGACTGAGTAATCTACAAATGTTTAGATTCAAAAAGAGAAAACACAGTTTCACACACAAATCATGCAAACTAACAATCAAAAAGCCATTTCAGTAATTAAAATTTTCTAAACCGAATTCCGTAACTTAGAAATGATTTATGTTAATCGATTTTGGAATTTTGAGCGTTTGTAGCATTTATATAATCATAAGATTAAATCAACAAAATAATGTTATAACAATTACCCTTGTAAACGTTGTTACTTGGCGATGCATTATGTTGTCGATGATATCTCTCCATTGAGTACACACTCGGCTGCATAAATCTAATTCTGCACCTTTTAAGTATCCAAATATATTAATCATAATTATTTCTGGCAATTCTGTGATTAAAGTGCAGCCACTTGACGATATTGCGTCTATTTCCGTTGTTGTTTCAAGGGTGATTTCTGCCATTTTGGAAATTCTCTGTAAAGATAAGAATAATTTATTAACTGGTAAATCTTTGCTTTGCTGAAAATTTAACAATTCTGGCTGATTTGAATCAACCAATTAGATATGGAAAAAATGCAGATTAGATCCAGATTATTTTTATTAAATAATATACCTTGCAGTATATTCCTGGTGCCGCTATAGCATAACCGGGTATATACAAAATATTTACAATATATTACATAGATGAAATACATCTTTTTAATTGAAATGAATATAACAAATAATTAAATGCGTGTACAAATAATATATATAAATATTACACGCGTACATATAAATAAATAACAAGAACAAAAAAAAAACAAAACAAAACCGCAAGTACAAATAATACGTACGTACAAACATTATGTGCGTAATCGTGTGCTTGAAGATTATAAATCTAATATACGCATGAGCAAATGCTATCAGGTACAGTCTATTTCATGAAGAAGAATTCATGTAAAAATATAATATAATACCCGCGTGA